AATTGTAAAATAAATAAGTAACTGGATGTAATGTATAGCATAAGAAATGTCAAAATATTGTAACAACTTGGTATGGTGATAGCTGGTACCTAGAATTATCATGTATATAAATGTTGAATCACTGTGTTGTACACCTGAAACTAAAGTAATACTGTGTGTCAACTACCCTTCAATAAAAAATAATTATCTACAAAAAAAAAAATTTTGGGGGGGTAATCCTGGGAATTACTGAGGTCTCAGGCTTAGGGCCTCGAATAGCTCAGATCTGCCAGTTCAGAGCAGGAGCTGGGAAACCATCTCCCAACCCACTCCAGCATAGGGTGGCTTCCACCCACCAGGGCCTGTTCCTGTGGTCTAAGGCATTTGGAAGCACCTCCCAGCTCCTGCCATGGGACATTCCCATCAAGGTTACCAAGGGGGAGGCTCAGGAGCACATCAGTTCAGTATTCAGGTGATCAGTCATTAGAGTCTAAGAGGTACCAGAAAATAGAGCCATTTTATTATTTTTTAATCTGTCACTGTGGCCTGAAGGGAGGGAACATAAACAGAAGGGAGGGGGCCCATTTGAAGGCTCTGGGTCTTCTACTTGGCCTGGACCGTCTCCTCCAGCCTATCCAGGCGCTTCTGGAGCTCCTGCACTGTGACCTGGAGCTTCCTCATCTCTTCCTCCAGCCGGGATACGGCATCCTGGGGAGCCAGCACTGCTTTAGGCCCAGCTCCATCCCGGATTCCTCTTACCCTCACATCTCCCAAGCCTCCTCACAAGAGTGCCAGGGCTTGGGCCCTCTGTCTCTCAGCTGCTTGCTGCCCAGAAATCTGCAGGCCTACAAGCCCGAAACTTTTCTGAAGCCTCAGGATTACCCACTCCCAGCTCCCAAAGGACCCCCAACATTGTGAGTTAGGGTGCCCCAAACAACAACCTTCTCCAACTGGGACAATGACAACATCAAGAGCGGCCCTGTCTTCCAGACCTGTTTCCCCAGCTTCCGTTCACCTCTCACCGAGTTTGGAGCGCCACTGGCCTCTGGTGCTGTCCTCCTGCGCCCAGTGTCCAGGCCCCGACTGACCCTCAGTTCCCGACTTTTGGGGGTCACATAGCCGTCCTTGAGGGAAATGAGGAGAGGCCCGGCATCCCGACCCCCCAGCCACTCCTCAGCTGTGAGGGAAGCATCAGGCCCTGCAGTAGGCGGGTAAAGATCCTCCTGGAACAGGTCCGACTGTGGGCAAGGCCAAGGCTGGTTAGGAGAGTGCTGAGGCCACACCACCCCGCTACACCTCCACGAGGTCAGTAACTAGCCCAGAGTGCAAGGAGGATCATGGGAGCATCACCTTTCTAGGCACTGTCATGGCAATGGGCTCACACCTCCGCTCATGCAGCTTGTAGAATCTGTGGAAACAGGAAGATAAGCAGCGCCTGCAGCATGGTTTAGCTGGAACTCAAGGTCAGCACTGAGTCAGCACTGCCCAAGGAGCATGGTCAGGTCAAGGTCAGGGGTCAGTCACCTGGCAATCTCACACTTGTTCACCTCCAGGCCACGTTTGGGCATGTAGCCCATGCCACGCTGGGACTCCTTGGAACTGAACATGGAGAGGTAGTGCAAGAATGGGGCCTCAGAAGTGATTTCGAAGTATCGGATAGAGCTGTCACCCTGCAGGGGTGGATGCAAGAGAAGGTCAGAATGACAGATGCCTCTGACAGATGCCTCAACCATGGTCTTTTCCAAGTCCCCTGCCCATCTCCCTCCCCTGACCCTCTGACAATTGGGTCACCTTGCCACAGAGGTAGACAATGTTGGTGTCAGGGTCAAAGAAGGGCAGCAGGACGCCACTGCTTGTGTCCAGCTCCTGCAGGGACAGCGGCTCCTCCAGGTGCTTCTGTAGAGAGGTGGGAGGTAACTGTGAGCTGGGCCAGGCCAGGCCCAGGGGTGGTGCTCTTCACTAGTCAGTGGCCTGGGGAGGGTCTTCACAGACCAACCACAGAAACCTCCATCCCATGGTGGGTAAACTGAGGCTCAAGACTATATGACCAGGCAAGTGGCAGGCAGGGACTGAGCCTCCAGTCATTCTCTGCTCCCTGCCCAACACGCACCGTGTCCCACAGTGCCACCTGTCGTTCACTCATGCGGCTAAAACCTGTGGTCAGGATCTTTCCATGTGACACAAACACAGCGCGCACGGGCCGGGTCCCTTCATGGGGACGGTCCTTCTCCTGGAAGGAAAGAGAGGTGGTTGGCCAGGCACCTACACACGTCCAAAGGGCCTGATCTGAGCTGGGGACAAGAAAGGACAGCATCTAAGGGCCTGGCTGGTGGTGGGTGAAGGCCCCAGGGTCAGAGATCACAGTTCATGGCAACTCACAGCTACGATAGTGCCTTTTCGGGGCTCGATGATGCGCACGCGCTTGTCACGGCAGGAGGTGCAGATGAGGGCGCCATCCCAGCTCCAGTCCACACTGTAGATTGTGTCCGGGTGCACGTCGGAGCCCAGTGTCAGCACAGCCGCCCCAGTGCCCACGTCCCACACCAGGATCACGTTGTCACAACCTGGGTGATGCCCCCAGAGTCAGAAGCCACGGGCCTCCCACCCTCGCTGTTGGGCAACCAGCCCACCCTTCTTCTCCCCACAGGCACCTGCACTGAGCAGCACGTTCTGGGCTGTGGGGTGCCAGGCCACAATGCCCACGCGCTTGGTGTGGCCCTCCAAGGTGACAACAGGTTCCCGCAGGGGCAGTGTCAGGCCCCCATCAGGGATCTCCCACACCTGCAGAGAAGAGGCTAGTAAGTCTTGGGGGTTCCAACTGTTAGATCCAAATCTGATGCCTCGTTACAGGCCCCCAGGACTCACCATAACTGTGCAATCCTCAGACCCGCTGGCAATGACGTTATCATTGTGCAGGCACCAAGCGATGTCCAGCACAGGGGCTGTGTGGCCACAGACCATAGGCACATTTTTGTCCACACGTCCAGTCTGGAGAGCACAGTAGGGCCTTTGAATGGGACACTTTCACTGTCCAAACCCAGTCCAACCTCCCCACACTCCTTCAGGGAAGTACAGAGAGGAGGGTTGTGGAGTCCCTGGGAGGCA